TGGCTGGTGCCTTAGCCGGTTGAGCTATAGGCGCTGAGCCAGTGGTATGGTTTCTTGAGGGTCACAGAGGCAGCTCTGGGCAGAGCCAACAGCCTCTCCCTATGCTGTCTGGGCCATGTTTCCTCTGCTGAAATTTCTCCAGGCTATGCCAGTGTTGTGAGCATGGGGCACACATGGCTGAATTTCTCAGGTCCTTGGCTCTTAGCCCTGCAAGCCCTGATAGGCATTTTTGGTTCTTAGGAAGTGGGTTCCTTTTTCTGGCCTCTCTACATACTAGCTGTGTGACTTTGGGCAAGTTACCTAACTTTTCTGAACCAGTTCCCACAGCTATAAAGTGGAGATAATAACAACTAGGTATCTCATGGAGTTGTAATAAACATTTAATGTGAAAGCCCCTGGCACAAGTGTGTAAACCTGTCACCTGCTCGCCTTAATTCTTTCACATCGTTTTTCATTTGAGCAGTGCTGCTTGTAAAGGGCAGCCTGACATGGTTAACTCTAACTCTGAGGACAGTCCTCCCTATGCCTAGCTTCTCTAGCCCCGTCTCAGACTCTGCCCTGGAACTAAGCAAGAGGGAGAGGGGAGGAGTCCCCTGAGAATTGGGGTCCTCACAGCCCCACTTGGTGCTAATTGTAGTCCACCTGGCTTTTGGCAGTCCTTGAGTCCTTGTAGAGCCCTATAGAAATTGGTATTTCAGTAAATCATGCTCTGTTTCCCCACTACTGTTTCTGAGCTGCTTTCTCATCATCCACAGAACCGCCCTTTGATGGAAAAGTCTAGGCGTTGTCTTACTGTGTGTCCTTGGGCACCTCCCTCCTAGTCTTGGATCTCAATCTCTTCATTTGTGATGTGGGGTGGGGTTGGGGGCTGCATCAGAGTTGTCAGCTGTTCACTTGTCGTGGCTTACACACAGACGGAGACTTGGAGATTTTTCAAGGCTTTGCCTGGGGTAGATGGAAGAGGCTTCTTGAGCTACAATGTCCTCAGCTGCTCAGGCTAGCCAGGCCTTCCCCTAGGCTGTAAGGGTCAGTATTTTCTTCCAGGGGTCTACAGGAATTCTGGGGATTAACACCCAGATGTGGGGAAGACCCCTCTAGATCCCCCCACCCTATGGGGCAGCATGGCCAGTTTACCCTCTGCCCCTGGCTCTTCACTGGCCTCTGGGGCAGTAACAAGAAGAATGTGACCAGCTACATTCCATGCATTCTGCTGAAGGTTATCTTGGCTTCATTCCCATTGAAGCCCCATAAGGTGTACATATAGCTGAGGGCATTGGGCCACAGAGAGGAGAGGACATTTGTCCTAGCTGGGGAGTGGCAGAGCAGAATTATAGCCAGGGTCTGAATCAGTGCACACTTACCGTGCTTCTCAACACTCAGAGAGTCCCCAAGCCCAGGGGACCTGTCCAGAGGGCTGGTAATGGGGAAAACATAGGCCCGCCATCTTCCTTTTTCCTCCCCTGGGTGTGGACCAATCACTGGCATCTTTCTGCAAGGGATTGCCTTTGACAATGCCAGAGCCAGGTCCCACCATCTCTCTTGCTAAATAACCAGATAAGCAGATGGTGGCTTTACTCCAGAGGGTCTTAGCACAAGTCACTGACTCCTGTGTGTGATAACACTATGGCCACAGACCACAGCCCAGGGCATTGGCTTCTGGGGCCTCCTGCTCATCGGTCTGTATTAGAGGATGCAAGGCAGGGCCCCAGGAAAGAGGCAGCTATCTGGGTGTGGCCCTATGATGGAGGGCATTTCTACAGAGCAGCATCCTTTAACCTCGTGACATGTTGGGGGGGTGGGTGGGAGGTGTGGGTATGGGGGGCTGGGATGTCTAAAGCCGCTGTGAAGAGCTTGGCTACCTTCCTGTGTTCATTCTCATAACCGAATTCTTGGACTAATCATTTGAGGTGACCCCTTTGTGTCTCCTTGTGAAATGGCTTTGGCCTCTCTGGGCTCTGATTGGCTCATCTGGGAAGAGATGGGGTAGAGGGAGTTGGATGAGAAGTCACACTTCACTCAGTCAACAGAATACTACTCTGGCCCTGAAAATAATGCATGAAATAGATCTGTATGTTCGGACATGGGAAGATGGCCCCAGTATAGTATTAAATGGAAAAAACTAGCCAAATAGTAGAATTTATGGTTTATCACATTTAAACAAAATAAATTCATATGTATGGCGGTATATGCAAAGAAAAACTATTTAGACGTAGACATAGCAGAGCGCGAACACGTTTTCTGATGGGTGGAAGAGGAACATCACATTGATTAGCTCATGGGAACGTTTCTGTATCAGCTGTTAAGACTGTGACCCCAAGTCCTAGCAAAGGGAAAACAAGTTTGCACCTGTTTCATCAGACTTCAGAATATCCTTTGATGGAACAGTCCCTTTAAATAAAGCTGCCACTTTTCTACAATTAACAAAATTACTTTAAATCTTGAAGTAAGCATGAGAAAGTCAGAACTTGATGTTTTTAGACACATTCCACTCAGTTGTCAGCCCTAACAGAAATGCATCCGTGGCCGTGATTTACATGCCTGAGGTTCTGAGTTGGCTGGATGGTTGTCTGTTGCAATTTAGATCTCTAATTGTGCTTGATTTCCAGTCTCGTCTATACACGATCTCAGGCACACCGTGCTGACACTGGGGCCTGGGGAACTGGATAAGCACAGAATTTATGATATAGATGATTTCACAAAGACATCTTTGAGAAGAAACTTCTAGGTTTTTTTTTTTGTTTGTTTTGTTTTTTAATGTGTGAGGACAGTGAGTGTTCCATAAAAACAAATGTGTTTCGGATATAAACAAAAGATGCCTGCCTGCCATCAGGTAAGGAAAATGAAGCTCCAGGGATTAACAGCGGCCGGGAGTCCCTCTGCTTCTCTCTGTTGGGCTGGCTGGTACTTCTCAGGGGAGGGAACTGATTTTTAGGGCCTGAGATGAGTTTTCCAAAAGTGGGAACTGGGCCTTCCCTATCAGCTTGGGGCTCTTCAAGGATGGAAACCACGTTCCTCTCTCAGGTTGAAAGCTCCTGGTGGCACTGGGGAGTCTTGTTTCTCTCAGCACAGCTGTTCCAGGATTCAGTGGAACTCTGCAGAAGGCATTGGATGTCCTGGTAGCAGGACCTCGGTGTGGGGCAGTGATGGAGGGAGACGTGGCAATCAGGGACTGGATGTGACTGGAGACCAGAGAGACAGGACAAGGTCCCTGCTACCCCAGTCGGGTCTTCTGGGGTCCTTGAAAGTACCTGTAGAGGCTCAGGGGCCATATGTCCCAGATTCCAGTCTCGGCTCTTCCACTCACTTAGTGTCTAGGTCTCAGTTTTTCCATTGGCAATGGAGATAGCACCTAACTCGTGCTGTTGTCATACGCTAACCCATATAGCGCACTGAGGATAGGGTGGTACCTGGCACAGAGCAAGCCCTGCTAACTGGTGGCTCTCACGTGTTAGTAAAGAGCTGTGGCTGCTTAATTACCTCAGCTGGAGAGAAAGCAGAAAGAAGCAGATGCCTCTTGGGCGGGAGAGGAGTCGCCCGTGAACGCGTTTGCCCTGGCCCTGACTCTCATGTCCTTCTGGGTTTCAGGTGGGACCGTCCGTGCAGCAGACGCCAGGATGCCCCAGGGCTGTGGCTGACCGGCCGTCCAGTCGCAGCACGGCCCAGGCCCGCATGCCGCCGCCCAACGAGGACCGCTCCCAGAGGGCTACCTGGGGCCCCGCGCCCGTTGTCTCCTGACCAACCAGGAGCCCCCAAGCAGCCCGGTTCCGCCTGGCCGCCCTGGGGGCGGAAGCGCCACAAGGCGGTGGAGGGACCCTGGGGAAGGGGCTTCGCGGCTGGCTGGAAACATTTTCCCCAAGAGGTTACGCAAAATGACCAGCTTGTTCCGCCGGAGCAGCAGCAGCGGCGGGGGCGGCACGGCCGGGGCGCGCGGGGCTGAGGCCGGGGGCGGCGGGGCCGCTGCAGCCCCGCAGGAGCTCAACAACAGCCGGCCGGCCCGCCAGGTGCGCCGCCTGGAGTTCAACCAGGCCATGGACGACTTCAAGACCATGTTTCCCAACATGGATTACGACATCATCGAGTGCGTGCTGCGTGCCAACAGCGGCGCGGTGGATGCCACCATTGACCAGCTGCTGCAGATGAACCTGGAGGGGGGTGGCGGCGGCGTCTATGAGGATAGCTCCGACTCTGAGGACAGCATCCCCCCTGAGGTAGGGGCACGGCCCCAATAATTCATTACCTGCTCCAACCACCGTTTGGATCTCTCTTGCATGGGTCCTCAAACTACGGCCCCGCGGGCCACATGCGGCCTGCCGAGGACATTTATCCGACCCACCGGGTATTTTTGCCACCGCTGTCCTGCTTAGCCGCTGCCTGTCCTTTTAAACAGTAGTCTGGCCCTCCAATGGTCTGATGGACAGTGAACTGGCCTCCTGTTTAAAAAGTTTGAGGACCCCTGATGGACCTGGGTTACTCCCCTGTCTGGGTTCTAACTAGCAAGCAACCTTACTTCCCCTGGGGGTAATGTACCATCAGTCAGAAACCATGTGGTCATTCAACAAACCTTGAGCACCCACTCAGAGGTGCCAGGCATGGTACTAGACGCTGAGTCAGGGGTCATCAGAACCAAGGCCTTACAGATGCCTGGGCCCCACCCCAACATACTGAATCCTGCTTCCAGGCCTGGAGTCCTCTAGCGTGTACTTTTTTTTCTTTTGAGACAGAGCTCACTTTGTCACTCTCAGTGACAAAGTAGTGCCATGGCATTATAATTCACAGAAACCTCAAACTCTTGGGCTCAAGCAATCCTCTTGTCCCAGCCTCTGATTAGCTTGGACTATAGGTGCCCCTTACAATGCCCACCTTTTTTAAAAAATTAGAGATGAGGACCAGCTCAGGCCGGTCTCCAACTCTTAAGCTCAGGCAATCCCAGAGTGCTAGGATTACAGGCGTGAGCCACAGTGCCCAACCCTATTATAATGATATGATAAAGTAAGCTGCAGAAGAGAAAATGTTATTAAGAAAATCATAAGGGAGAGATATTTACTATTCATTAAGTAGAAGTGTATCTTCATGAAGGTCTTTATCTTCAGCGTCTTTATATTGAGTAGGCTAAGGAGGAAGGAGAGGAGTCGGCCTTGCTGTGTTAGGGATGGCAGAAGCAGAAGACAATATAAGTGGACCTGCGTAGTTCAGACCCATGTTGTTTGAGGGTCAAGTGCACATCCAATACATGTGAGCTGTAAAGGAAGTTCTTGGCATCTCTGGCCCTTTCTAAGTCTCATTTGTTCTGATAGTGTGGCAGGTAAGACAGTATTTCCTCCTTTGTGCACTGCACCCACAGTGCTGTGAGCCTTTGCTAAGCTTCACCTCCTGGATAGACCTAAGCTGTGTGTGCGCTTCTGTTTTTCTAAGAATCTTGCTTTCCAAATCCAGCCTCTTCTCACACCTCTTCCCTCCCTTGGCTGTTTCCCCAACCCCCCACCCTTGGAGCTCCGCCTGGGCGCATTGGCAGGCAGTTCCTGAGCCAGCGGAAAGTGCTTTGGAAAATTTATGAGCAGCAGCTGGAATGACAATAACTGCTGACTGGAGAAAGCCCCTCTCTGGGGGCTGATGGATGGTGGGCTGGCCTGAGGGGTATCCTTGCCACAGAGAAATGTCTCCTGTCAGATAAATAGCCAAGATCCTGCGCCGCCCCCACCCCCCCAGCACCTGGCAGGCATCCATCACCCACAGTGAGTTAAGCCAGAAGGCTATAGAGCTGAAAACTTCAGCATCTTTAGAGCCAGAAGAACAGCCTCTTTGTGGCTGGCAAGGGTGGGAGGAGAGAGTCAAAGAGGTAGCTGGGGTTATGGTCCCAGGACTCTGCCTTTCTGGAGCTTGCCTGGCCAGCCGCCTGCCTCCCCTGTGCTTCCCTATTCCTCTCCAGGAGCCTCTGAAGAATGTCTGGTTTTGTTGGTCCAGGAGGCTGCCCTGAGAGCAGGAGAGGGCCTCCTGGTGTGGCTGTGGAGGACCGATCACCCTGAGTCTGGGGGCTCATGCTGCCGGCTGTGGTCAGCAGAAACCCAAGCAGTAGGGGTAGTTCCTTCCGAGCTCTCCTCACCCAGCCTCAGAAGGAATGGGCCAGGCAGCCATGAAGGCTGGCTGCTGTTAGCATCTAGGCCCTAGCCTGGAACCCTGGCTCTCAGAGTAGAGGGGTCCGGGACACAGAGCATGTGGGCTGGGGAACAGCAGTACCTTCTCTGTACTAGGCCATTGTCCTGCACCAGGCACCAGAGATTTGCCAGTGAACAGAAGCCTACACTGTTCTCTCTCATTTTTTATTTCTTGTGGAAATTTGGGGTAAGCAGAGCAGTGGCCCACCAAGCAGCTACATTCTTCTTTTCCTGCAGAAGCATCTGTTTAAATGTTTAAATACTTTCTGCCTCAAAGGAAAGGACGTTAGTGCATTCCAGGGCAGGAGGCCTCCTAGGGTCAGGCTGGCTATGTGTGCAGCAGAGAGAGAGTGTGTGTGTGTGCACAGGGCTTACATGTGCAGGCTCACTCGCCCACCCACAGGGTGTCTCTGTGAGGCCCTGTGTGTACTGAGCACGGCTGGCCTGAGTAGAGATGTGCCATTGCAGCCAGGCCCAGCCTAGATTTGCAGAGACAGCTTTAGCAGTGACTTCTGCAAATTCACTTGGGGTCTGGGGACTCTGGGACTGAAGGGCCTCTTAGCCCTTCCCATATTCTTTAGTCTTAGAGGAGATGGAAACAGAATTGTGGAAAGGGGGTATGATGGAAGCCAGGTTGGGGTGTATAGCTACCCCAAACTCTTCTGTGGACCTTTGAGAGGGAGCAGTCCAAGTAGCAGGAACCCCATTCTTTGCCCAGCCTGTGGCCTCTCCCTGCCCCTCTTCCTGGCTCCTGGATGAAGAAAGTCCAGGAGAAAGAAGGACCATCCTGGGCACTCCCCTTGCCAGTGTCTGCCCTGAGAGTCCAACCTGGTGTGCAGTCATTAGACCTGAAGGGGGGGACTCTTGGGGTCCAAGTTAAGAACTCAGTTCTAAGAAGTGTGTGGCTTTTGCCGTGTCACTTAGTCTAGGTTTCAGTTTCCTCATTTATAAAAATGGGGGTAATGATCCATATCTTACTGCGCCAGGTTGTTTGAGGTTAAGATGAGATAATAGATGTGGCGGTACTTTGGATGATGTTATCTTCAAAGAATAGCACGTGTACAGGGGAGTATGTGAATCACCAGTGTGCAGCTCAGTGAAGTTTCATAGCATAATGATATACCACGTTATCTGCAGCAGATGGAGATATCTACACCGTCAGTAGCACCTGGAGCCCCCATGCGCCCCTACCTGCCCCACACTGGGCACAGTGTTCTGACCCCATCACTGTGTGTTTGTTTTGCCTGGTTTTAAAGCTTACTTGGATGGATAATGCTGCTATGTACATTCTTTTGGGGACATGCACTTTCATGTCTGTCCAGTATGCTGGAACTGTGGGGTCAGAGCTAGCTAAGTGTTTGGCTTTAGCAGGGAAGGCCAAACGGTTATCCAAAGTGGTGATTCTATCAATTTACACTCCCAGCAGCAAGGCACAGAGTTCCCTCATTACATGTCCTCGTCCACACTTGTTTTTGTCTGAATGTTATTTAAATTTGAAGACGGACTATTAATATTTCTTTCTTTGTTGTCTCTGATACAGATCTTGGAAAGGACTTTGGAACCTGATAGCTCTGATGAAGAGCCCCCACCTGTGTACTCCCCACCAGCCTACCACATGCACATGTTTGACCGACCTTACCCTCTGGCTCCCCCCACACCACCTCCCCGGTGAGAATTGATCTTATCTCAGAGCACAGAGTAGCAGGGAAGGGGACCAGGGGCTGGGGTTGTGTATAAACACAGCGGGAAGCTTGGCTGGACCCCTCAGTGTATTATTTCACCAAGATCAGGCTTCTACCACAGCAAGAAACATTTCAGCTAGATACCAGGAAAAAACTTTCAAATGTAAGGGTTGCAAGAGCAAACATTTGCTAAATTCCCACTCTAGGCTAGATGGTATGTCCCATGCTATAGGGGACATGGAATTAAATAAGGCTCAGCCTTTACTTTCTGGGAGCTTATAGTCAACGGCAATGATAGAGTAGGAGTGACAAATACATGGAATGTGTGCTGACATGTGCCATCCCAAGCCTATGGCAAATGCTACTAATTAATCACGGTGGTCCTTTCCACTGAGTTGAGCCAGAACCTCAAAATCCTTCTTAACCCAGCACTCCCAGATGGTCACCTGTGATCGATGGTATGGCCATTTGCCATTCTTAGACTAGGGATGTTGGGGGACCAAGTCTCTTTGGGGAGATAGTTTGATGACTAGAGGCAGGGGAATAGATTGCAATTCCTGGAAACTTCTTCCAATTCCAGAAACTATAATTTGGAACCCTAAAATGAAGCTGGTTGCCAATAGGGTCCCATATATCTCTGAGACACTTGTCTTCCTGGGCCCCATGTTTGTGTTGGGGCTGCTGGGAGCCAAAGTGTTGCCTTTTTGTTCTAGAACTGCTGCTCCTTAGGATGATTCAGGCCTGGGGTGGGCAGGGGTTGGGAGGTGATGGGACAGGGCCCTTGCCCCAGTGGATCCTCCCTTCTGGGGGTTTTGGGAGCCCAAGCAATGGTGGTGGAAAACTCTGTCATCCCACAGGTGTAGCTCCCATTTACTGCCAGACACCAAGAAAGTTCTTTACCTATACCATCACATTTAAAGTGGAGGGGGGCACTGTTGTCACCATCCCCATTTTATGGATAAGGAAATTGAGCCTCTGGAGGTCTCCGAGACTAAGAGCTGGAATTCGAATCCAAGTCATTGGGACTTGAAAGCTACTCACTCTTCACTGCTGTGTCCTGTCACCTTCCTAATGAGAAAAATCTCTGTAACTGCAGCTGAGGGCGCAGATAGAGTCCTAGAAAGTTACTGGGGTTGGGGAGGAGTACTGGGAGAGGGGAGTGTTTTGAGTCAGGGACAGCAGCAGAGGGAGGGTCTTTATCACAAGTGGTACCAGGAGATACTGGGGTGGGTCTGGGTGAGATCTAGGTGACACTTGCACCCTGGATGGGTCACAGAGCGCAGAACTAAATGATTTTCATTTGGCACTTGTTTTTAATGTCCCAAGATGCTTTTTACCAAAAAGTTTAGTTTCTGTGAGGCAGAATGGTTCGACCTATTTTTCAGAAGGGAAAACCAAGGCTGTGAGAGAGAGAATCGCTATGTGTGTATGTGTTCATTCTTTAACAGAGACAGGGTCTCTGTCTTACTATGCTGCCCAGTCTGAACTTGAACTTCTTGGCTCAAGACATCCTCCCATCTCAGCCTCCGAAATAGCTGGGTCTACGGGTGCCACTGCTCCTGGCTAAGAATTCCAATATAAAAGTGGTAGGGGTGACCTGGCCAGATCCTCCCTCTCTACTCTGGCTAGGTACTCAGCCTGATGTGAGTAGGGTAGGGCCAGGGGCAGTGCAACCCAGTGATAGGATCATCCTTTGGAGGCAAGGTGACCTGAGCACTAGATCAGAGCTCAGAAGGCTTTCTTCAGACTCTGAAGACTTTGGACTCAGGGGCCTTGCTCAGGAAATGAAGGCTCTGCTGGGCTGGGAGGGCAAGCATTGAGGAGAATTTGAGTCAAGGAGTCAGACAGAAGCAGACTGCTCTCCTCACCCTGTTCCTTCAGCTGCCTAACTTCCAATTCTTCAGGCACCTCTGCTCTGTGTCCTTTCTGAGCTTCATTTACCTCATCTGAAATGGGAATGCTGATTTCCACCTGACCACAGCTATGAGGAATGAATGAGGTGTTGAGTGGTGAGCACTTAGCACAGAGCCAGGGCTGGACAGACCTATAGTCAGTGGTTTTCTGTTTCTTCCTGCCCCCAGCTGCACTGGCTGGCCTCAGAGTTCAGCTCTAAGTTTGAACTTTGAGGCTGGTGATGAGGCTTTCCCCAGAGGCCAATGTTCAGAAAAGACACATGTCCCTTTGCCCCAGGATGGCTGTGTGAGGCTTATGTTTACCCCCAGGCCATCTCCAGGGGCTCATCCAGTCTCTCCATCCAAGTCATTCATTTCCAGCATTTACTGAGTCACCTGCACCTGCTAACTGTGTGTGATGCAAAGATGAATACAGCACTGTCTTGTTCCGCTCCACTCCCCACAGGGAGATCAGTCTTGGGAAACTGTGGGCACAGTGGTGGGGAAGCCTGCCTGGAAGAATTGATGTCCAAGCTTTGACCTGAAGGCCACATTGGCATTAGTGTGGGAAGGCAGAGGATGAAAAGGCATTCAGGCAAAGAAAACAGCATGTGCAAAGGCGTGGGAGCAGAGAAGAGGGGATCATCTGGGGAATTCCTCCAAGTATCAAAAAGTTGAGTGAGGCTGGAGGGGCAAGATGACAGTGGGGTCCTTGTGGCCTCCACACCAGCAGAGAGCATCCAAGAGGTTTAGGCTGGAGAGTGACATGACCGGGTCAGTGTTTTAGGATTTTCCCTCTGTCTGCCGAGGGAGGTCAGAGATGAGTGGGGCAGTGGTCCGGCCTCCTTCTGCTATCTCCAGTCACTGGGGTGCCCAAGAGCCTTCAGATGGGCAGTGTGTGAGAGCTCGGGCACTGCCCTGCAGGGGCACAGAGAGTCAGGCCCTTCCCTGGAGAGCATGCTTGGAATGCCAGGATCTCTAGCACGGAATTTTTGCCTGATGATCTGTGTGCCTGGGACAGGGCCTGACCCCACATGGACCTCCATGTCCAGTCTACCAAAAATCCTGCTTGAAATCCTTCTCTGTCAGGTCCGATATTCTGGGGTAAGGTAGGGCTGATGGGGCTTGAACTTCCTGTTTCTGGATCTAGGGGTAGAGGCTCCAGAGATCCTCCCCAGCCTTCTTTCTCCTTCCCCTCCCCCTTCCTCTCCTATCCCCTTCCCCATCTGTCTGAAAGACTGAGTCTCTGAAACCCAGGGGAGCCCTCAGTACAGGCCGCCTGCTGTCTTTCCATTGAAATTACAGCCTTGGAAGTTTTTTATTTGCCTCTCAGCTCATTTCTGACATTCCTTTCCAACCGCAATGGAGTTGCCTGGGCTGCCTGTGCTCAGGCCCCAGATCCTGCAGCTGTGGACTGACTTCATCTCCACCAGTGCCAAGGCTGAGGGCAGGGGAGCGGGGACCAGGGGCCGAGCAGGGGCCTTTGCTCCCACTTAGGTGTCTCAGTGACTAGAGGGGACCGAATACGACATTGGGGCTTGTCCTCTAGTGTTTCCCCAGGTGGTTCTGAGGTGTGGTTAAGTTGGGGGTGGGTACCCATGTCCCAGATGAAGGACCTTGAGACCCCAGGAAGGGCAGTGCCCCTGGAGAGATTTCTCACCCCCTGTGGCGGCGGGTGGTCTGCGAGTCCCTGAAAGATGGGGCATCCCCTACCCTGCCTTTCAGGCATCTGGAGAAAAATGAAGCCTTTAGCAATGACAAAAGGTGGCAGAATGATGGAGAAAGAAATCTGGCCTAGCCTGGGGAGTCCCAGACCGTTCATTCTGCCATGTCTGCGCAGCGAGAGGGTGGACCAGGCGCGCGCGGAGTTCCCTTGGCTCCCGTCTGCTGCGCTGAGCTCCCACCATGCTCTGAGCAGCTGGTTATCCCGTCTGCTCCACCCCCGCCCCTTCCCCTCGCCCCCGCCCGGCCACCCGCCCAAAATAGAAAAGGAAAGGAAGTTATTTCCATAGTCAGCGGCAGCCCGGAAAAGCTTCCCTCCAGTGAGGGGGCGGGCGGGATTCCTGGAGCTGGAGACCAAATCAAAGCCAGGCCCGAGCGAGCAGGGCCCCCACCACGGGCTCTGAGCTGCCTGCCTGCTCAGTGTGTCATTTCCCTGATTCAGCAGAACACGTGTCCTGCGGTTGCCACGCTGCAGGCCACCGTGGCCACCACGGAGCTGTGGGGAGCTCCCAGCTGGGTTCTGGGCTGCTCTCCTGGTGGCAGGGCAGTAGCCTGGGGGTCAGGGAGGGCATGTCCTGCTCCCCCCCTTCCTCTCTCCAGGGCCTCCCTGTTGATCTCTGCCACAGCGCAGAGCCCCTCACCTGGCCTAGGAAGGGTGGCCCCAGTGCGCCCTCTGAATGAATGAGATCCCTTCCAGGCTCGCCTCTCCATAAGCCTTTCTAGAATATTGTTCAATACACAGCCTTAAGGGTCTCCTGAGCACCTTGGCAGGAAGATAGAAGTTTCTAGATGAGGAAACTGGGCCCCAAAGGAGCAGTCTCACCCAGGATGGTGTCACCTGCTGCCTGAGACAGAACTGGAGCCCAGATCTACTTTACTCTTTCTAAGGATCCTGGAGTCCATCCCCATGTACTCCCTCCCCAGCAAACCAAGGTGCAGGCACTGTGTAGAGGTGTCTTAGGGCCATACCTGCTACTCAGCAGCTGGGAGCTGGGTGCTGTGCTAGGGTAGGGTGACCAGACCTCCGGCTTTTGGCCGGACAGTCCCCCTTTTCAACAATTTGTCCCGTGTCCCGCAGCGTTTTTAAAAAGTCCCGATTTTTAGAAAGAATGCACGGGCGGGAGAACAAGAAGGGAATATACGGTTTTCGGCTGCCATGTGGCTATTTTGCCAGAATATGAGTTTTATATTATTATTAATTTTATAATGTTAAACTGTAATAATAACAAATAATTGCTGAGAAGTGATTATCGAGAACTGCTTATCAAAGTTTGCATTGTTGTCAGGCCGGGCCCTGCCCTGCCCCGTCCCCTGCCCCGCCCACGCCCCACCCCCGCCATGTTGTCCCACCTTACCTATGTTAAAATCTGGTCACCCTATGCTAGGGATAAGTGTGTAAACATGAAAAGACAGGATCCCTGGGATCCCTGCTGTCCTTAGAAGACATTCATAAACATCTACATCTCAATCCACAGCGGTCCCCATTAGCACCATGAGCACAGCTGTCTAGGTCCAGAGAACTGTGAGGGCTGCAGTCATGGGAGGGCAGTGACTGGGGAGTTGGGTGAGGCTGATGGAGAAGAGTCTCCAGTGGTGATGAGCCATGGAGATGGGCCTTTGCTCTGGAGCCTGGAGAAGGTCTAAGCAGGGTCCTCCTGCCACAGGAGGCTGGGGGTCAGGCTTGATGATTCCCTCCCACCCCACAGGATTGACGTGCTAGGCTCTGGACCTCCTCCAAGCCAGAGACGCTATCGGAACTGGAACCCACCACTGCTGGGCAACCTCCCTGAGGATTTCCTCCGCATCCTGCCCCAGCAGCTAGACAGCATGCAGGTAACAGGGGCCGCCCCCACCCTCCCCTCCCACCTGGACGTCCAGCATCTCTCTCTACCCACACAGTTTGTGCCCGTCAATTACACTTCCTGATTTTGAAGCTGAGCTATTTCTGGTGCTCTGGGTTTATAAGGAAAGAACGCTGAACCACAAGCCTCACTTCCTGTCTGGGCCTGGAGGTTTCCTGTTCTGCTCAGAGAAGGTGGTAGCCTAGGGTGGGTCTCTGCTATAGCCATCACCTCAGGCTAAGGAGAGGTGGGCATGAGGTAGCCAATGGCGGTGGCCAGGGTACCCCCTTCTTTCCCTTGGGAAAGGGCCAGGACCTCTCCCCAGATGTTGGCATGCCCCAAGGGGCCTGTGCTTGGGAGCAGGCTCACCCTGCAGCAGCTGGTTTAGGGGAGGTCACCTTTGGGAATGCATATATAGGCTGGAGAGCAGTTTGCAAAGCCCTTGTCAGGACTGTTCAAGTTATAGATGAAGGTACCAGGGAAAAATGGTTTTTGTGTCCTTTTGCTGCTTCACTAGCAGAGAGGACTCTGACTTGGGGGATTTGGGCTGTCCCATTAGGAGGCGTGGGCTGTAGGGTGGGGCCAGAGGACTCTGGGAAAACACAAGCGGACACCCAGATGTACGTGGATGTTTGTGCCACACATGCCCTTGTGAGTAGGCATTCACTACCTGCTTCCCTCTTCAGGGTAACCCCGGGGGCCCCAAGCCTGTGAGCGGAGAGGGAGGCCTGCCTGCCACAGCTGGTCCTGGGCCCCGAGACCAGGAGAGCCGCTGGAAGCAGTATCTGGAGGACGAGAGGATTGCACTCTTCCTGCAGAACGAGGAGTTCATGAAGGAGCTGCAGCGGAACCGTGACTTCCTCCTCGCCCTGGAGAGAGGTGGGCTGGGTGCCAGCACTGGGGCCACTTCTCCCTGGCTAGGGAAGGGAGGGTCGTGCTGGTCTTGGCCTCATGACTCAGAGGGTGCCAGGTTCTTGCTGTCTGCCTGAGGTGCAGCTCCTACCAAGTTATCCTGTGGGAGCCCCACAGTTCTGCCCACAGGGACCTGGGTCATCTCAGGACTCAGAGGGAGAGGGCTGTGCCTTCTTAGGCCCTCTCTTTCCCTTCACACATCTGCTCTGTGTCAGCCGCTGGCAAGGGGCAACAAGAATAATAGAACCCTAGCCCCAGATAGGCGTGATATGTTTGGAGCCCCAGGAACACAGTAGCTGGGTCCACAGGCACCAAAGCAGGAGAGACTCCCTGATAGGAGGACCTCAGAGCAGGGGCTCACAAGGTTTGGGGGTATTTGGACTGTCTTTGGGTGGAGGACCCTTCTCCCCAGCCTGGTTGCCTGTCCCCTCCAGGGTGGAAGTGTGTTTGGGCTGGAGGAGGCAAAAGGCCTTGGAGGTCCATTGCTGTGACAGTCACATCTGAGGGCTTATGTGTGTGTGAGCACCACTGGTGTGTTGGTGGGGAAGGTACAGATCACGCAGGGAGAATGTTGGCCTGAGACGGAGGGGGCCCAAGCTGGTCCTGGCTCTGCAGCAAAGGTGCTGGAGGTCTCAGGGCCTCTCCTTTTAAATTAGGGGATTTTGACCCTGTGATCTCTTGGAGTCCTCCTAATTCTGACATTCTAACATTCCAGGGGGTGGGCAGGCAGTAGTTTCTATGTTATTGATGGCTCTTTGAGAGCCAGCAGATATTGTGTACATACTTATTTTGTGTGCCTCTGTGTGCTCATGTGTGATTCTGGGGGTTCAGCCTCCAACAACCTTCTGCATCTCAGCCCAGGCTGCCCCTGGGAGCCTAGGAGCTAACTTCCCTGATCCAAGAATGTGGTCCTTTTCCAGATCGATTGAAATACGAGTCCCAGAAATCCAGGTCCAGCAGTGTGGCTGTCGGAAATGACCTCAGCTTTCCCTCTCCTGTGCCAGGTAACCTGGACTTCCCGGCAGAGGAGCCTGGAGGGCATAGGGGTTACAACCCAACTTTGTGTATTTGGAGTTTGGGGGTAGAGTGAGGAAGTTGAGGCTGGGGCCTGGGCCTCCTTAGCAGGCTGGAGGGGCCACTTCTGCCCTCACCTCCACACCCACCACAGAGGTGGCTATTCCATTTAGCAGCCTTAGGTTCTTACCAATCCAGAGGCTTTGGGGTCTCTGAGACCACAGCTGTGATTGGCTAACACAACCTGGCTGAAGTCCCAACCTATGCTTGGAGCATAGGCCAGGAGGGCATACCCTGTATCACACCATCACATCCTGTGATGGGGTTGGGATGCAGAAAGGACTCAGAGAGTTATAAGGCTTGATCTCTGTCCTGGGGGAACATAAAAGAAGATATGTCTAAGAAACAGGTAGGGCAGACCAGCAAAGCTAAGGATATCTTGATTATAGCAAATGCGTGGAGAAAAGGAGGGCAGGATTAATCTGGGAGAGCTTACTCATTCATTCAACAGTGGGTCTGCCATCTGCTAGCCCTACCCTAGCAGGTGGAGGAAGAGGAATTTCAAACTTTGTGTACACGGTGGTGAGAAGCAAGTACTGCCTCAAAGGAAGGCCAAGCCCCTCTGCTCAGGGGCCCTCATGGCTGGAGGAAGAGCAAGGGCTATTGGGAAGCATGGACCAGAGGGCCGAGCCAGAGCTGGGAACATGAGGCACTGGCTCAGGTGTCCCTGGTTCCACATGTGACACTTGGACTCTGTGCCTGTGTGTGAATAGTGGCCCTGCCACACACAAGCTGCCTACCTGCCTCAGAGGAAGACTCAGCAGCTCTTGCCCGGAGCAGCCCTTATAGGGTGTGGTGGAAGGTGTGGGAGAAGGCAGGTGGTGTAGAAGGAGGTCAGCCCTTACAGGGTGCAGTGGAGGGGGCAGGAGATGGGGGCAGAAAGAGCTCAGCTGACCCCCAGCTCAAAGGGAGAAAATCCTGTGAAACTGATTCATAAGCAACAGGCTGGCAGCTTAGGCCCCACCAGATGCGCATCTGGGAGTTTTAACTGGAGCCTCTTGTCCTTGATCCTGAATTAACTAGAGACACCAGGACTGCTGAGATGGATCAGAATGACTCAGAGGGGACTTAGCAGGCAAGGTGACTGGGGATTAGCCAAGTTGCAGGATGGAGAACAGGGGCTTTAAGAGGGCACTGGGAGACACAAGTGGGTGCTGACTGAGCTGGGAGACAGGGCAGCCAGCCGGGTTCTGACACTAGGACTAGCCCCATTCTCGTTCCCGCTCGCTGTCTGACTAGCCAGAAACCCTATGCCTGGGAGGGAGGAATGGAGGACACTGACCCTGGAAGAAACAGAAGGGACTAGCCTCAGGCCAATGGCAGCTCTGTGCCAGCACCCCGACTGACTGTCACACAAGGGTCAGGTGCCGGCAGGCCCCGGTGTGCTGGTGAATGTTGTCATGCCAACTCTGGGTGCAGCACCTGGGAACCTCTGTAGTGAAAATGTCCCCATCACAGCTGATGTCAAGCTACTGACATGACTTCTCGAACCGAACAGTTGGTCAGAGAAGTGGGGAGTTGGGACCCCCCGGGAGCCAGCTCTCTGTGCATACAGCAGACCAGGAGATGGTTCCTGTTTTTTCAGAGGAGGAAACTGAGGCCCATGAAGGGGAAGAAGTGCTCTGAGAACCCCACATGTCCCCCTTGTCTAAAATTCCCTCTCGGTAAGGGAAGAAGCCTGCCCTTTGATGGAGTTGAAGAAGCCCTGTGGGCTGCTGCTCTCCCTCTCTAGCCGGCCCTCAGCTAGTGTCTCCTCCTTCCAGGAACTGGTGATGCCAACCCCACCGTGTCTGAAGATGCCTTATTCAGGGACAAGCTGAAACACATGGGAAAGTGTGAGTCCAGCCCACGCCCCCCCTTCCCTCTACAGCTCTTCTGAGACAGGGCCTGTGGGCTCATGGAGGGAGGGAACCACCCAGAATCTTTAATACAGCTGACTCTTGGTGAACCGAAATGACTTTCTAATCGGAGGCTGGCTCCCTCAGCCTTCCTACCTCACTTCCCTCTACCTCTGAGTCTGGATACAAATTCAGTTTTAAATCCTCTTGAGCCAGCTGTCTGCAGAGAAACGTTCTGCACATGTCCTCACCCCGATTGGAGGATTCATGTTTTCTGTGGCTGGAGGAGGCTTGCTTGGCTGGGCCTGACTGCCTGGAGAGGCCCTTCCTAAGCCCACACTCTGTGGGGGTAGAAGGACCTCTTTCCACAAAGTCCTGCCAACCCTGAATGCCCCCTTTCCCTCTCCCTCACCTCCCCACCACACTGACACGCCACTGTACAGGCAGGCTCCATTTCAGGGAAAATGTCAAATTAGCCATGCGGCTCCCAGGACCAACTCTGGCTAGGGAAGGGCCCAGAAGGCAGTGGCAGCAGAAAAGAAAGCTGAGATGCACTGCAGTCTATTGCAGCTGGGGAAGGAATACCCGGATCTTGGGTTGCCTGCTGTCCCTAGGTCTGGCTCTCGGTGGCCTGTGCTGCCCCTGCAGGCTGATCTGGGATGGCAGCCTTGGCTCCCGGGGTGGCATCCATGTCTGCAATTCCTATCACCTCCCCCTCTCAAGCTCCCACCCTGGCTTATCCTCTCCCTTAACCTGGTGGTGGTGGGGAGGTTGCTCCTCCCCTGGCCTCCCTATACCTGGGGGAAGGCCACCTGGTCTCCTGCCAAGACAATGACTCACAGGTCTCTCTGCCCCCAGCCACTAGAAGGAAGCTGTTTGAACTCGCCCGAGCCTTCTCTGAGAAGACCAAAATGAGGAAGTCAAAGAGGAAACACTTGTTGAAGCATCAGTCGTATCCTTACCAGCCTGGCACTGGGTGGGGGAGGTAGAAACCAAGGGTCACTGAGCAAGACCCCCACTGGACTCCCCGCAGCTATGACCTCTGCCAGGAGTCAGTGGCTTCTCCTGCCTCCCATGAGCCAGGCCAGCAGCCCACTGCCCATTTCTTGGTGCCAACCAAGAACCAGGCCTAGGGTGCAGGGCTACAGCGCCTGTTCTTCTGCAGGCTCAGAAGTTGTCCTATAATTTTTTTCTTTTTTGGTCTGGGGTAGTCTGCATCTTGGGAGAAAAATTGGTTCTTCCGTCAAAATCAGCAGACCCATCCCAATTTCTCCAGCTGAACTGGTGTATGGATCCTTCTCGTTTCAAGCATATTGGTCTTGCCTTCTCACTTTCACTTCCTTGAGTAGGAAGACATTTTCCACGTTTCCACCTGAACTGTGCTTGGCAAACAGGGCCTAGGATATTAGAAGCTGAATAGCCAAAGGGAGCAAGGAGAGAATCACTTCTGTCCCCAGAGATGGGAGTGGGGCAAGAGTGTCAGGGCCTGGCTGCATTGCTGATACCAAGAAGGAGCTATCAGACTGGGCACGGGGGCTCATCTCAGCACTCTGGGAGGCCGAGGCAGGAATATCCTTTGAGCTCAGGAGTTTGAGACCAGCCTGAGCAAAGGGAGACCCTACATGTACTAAAAAGTGAAAAATTAGCCAGCTGTTGTGGTGGGCGCCTGTAGTCCCAGCTACTCAGGAGGCTGAGGCAAGAGGATCACTTGAACCCAGGAGTTCAAGCCACAGAGCAATGAGGTTGCTGTGAGCTAGGCTGAGGCCACAGCACTCTAGCCCAGGTGGCTCTGTCTGGGGAAAAAGAAAAAAGGAGCTAGCAGAGGTAGTACTGGGGATCAGGTGGGTATGCTGGTTGCCTCCTGAGTTTCCAGGGGTGAGGCAGGGAACTGGGAGGACTAGGGCAGTGCTGACCCATCCTTGCACAGTTTTCCTGAACAGTCTGGCAGGCTAGGTGCTGCTGCGTCCACAGCCAATCTCCTGGATGATGTGGAGGGCCACACTTGCGGTGAGATAGGAGGAGAATCTTAATCTCCAACTTGCCTATAATCAGTGACCCTCCCAGAGGGATCCTGGGTGCTTCATAGGGGGACCCAACCTGTTTGGGAGGGAGCACTCAACCTGGGCACATGTTGTGGGCTGGTGGGCAGGTGACCCCCAAACTGGATCCTCCCCTCTTGGTCCACATTGATTCAACCTTCCTGTGACCCCTGAAAGGGACCCCTAATCCCACTTCCACCTACATCTCTACCAGCAACACAGAGTGCCAGGTATCATCTCTGGGGACTATTCTCTGGGTCGTAAGGGGGCAGACAGGCTTACTTACCCCCATGGGGGGGTGTCAACTCAAGAACTGTGTGCTTGGCAAGGCTTCTTTCTTTGAAGTCTTCTCCCTACTCTGTGGCGGTCTGTGGGCCCAAAGACTTTAGCTTTCACTCAGTCCCTTCCAAAGCCCACCTGAGCCAGAAGACCCTGCTTCAGACCCTGCCAGGCCCACAGCTGACCACCAGTCCTCAGAGCAAGAGGGACCCTTTGAAGATCAGGAGACATCTAGAAGCAAGGACAAGAAGGCGCTCAAAGGTTATCTAGATAGTCCAGCTTCCCCATCTCAGTTTATAGACAAGGAGACTGAGCCCCAAAGAAGAAGGAAGAAATTGTCCAAGATCTCAGAGCTCAGTGATGGAGCTAGACCAGTGCTGGGGTGTCCTGTTACCTCTCTCACCACATCTCTGCATCTCCTACTTGGAGATCCTGTGCCCCAGATGAAGGGGTTAGCTCTCTTGCTCAGTTTGGGGGACATGCCTAAGCAGGGCCCTGCAGGGTGGAGGATGAGGCAGCTTCCCTTTGCTTTCCAGATGAAGACTTCCGTGGAAGGCGGCAGGAGACCCCCAAGGTGGAGGAAGCCCTGAGAGAAGGACAGTAAGAGGTAATGCCTGGAGACATAGCTGCCCTGGGACTGGCCATGGTCAGAACCTGCCACCTCTATAGCCCACATGTCTTCCAAAGTGTCCAGAGGTGCTAGGCTCAAACAGCTGGGTAGCATACATCCTGGGTCTCTTCTGTCATAGTTGTGGCACAGACATAAGCTTCTGCATGGGAACTAGACCTTTGTATGTCTTTTACTTATTCATTTCATTTGACAAAAGATAAACCATACCTGCTTATGACAGGTGCTAAGAACAGGAAAACAAAAATCAGCTTTGACCTTGAATAGTTAATGTCCCAGTTGAGAAGACAGTCCAGCACACATGCAGCACAGTGAAAAGGCAATTTAAGAAAAATTGAGGTGGCCTCAATCCAGCCATGCACACACAGAAGCCCCTGCAGCTCCCTGCTTGGAGTGGGTGGCCTGGGACCTGCCACCTCTGTTTCTGACTGGAGCTGGGGGGCCCCAGGCTGTTTTGTTCCTCCCTGCAGGGGAGACACGGAATGCTGAGGCCTCCTGTAGGACTTGTCCTACTTGTCCATCTTTTAGCACCTTCCCCCTAACTGGAGGCAGCCTGCTCACCCTTCCCCAGCTGCTGGTCTGGCCCTAGTGGGCAGCATCTACAAGGCTTCCTGGAGATGACAGTGTTGCAGGTGTGGACCTCAGGAAGGTCATGTAGAGGCGAGATAAACCAGGAAGGAGTAACTGCAAGCACCCCTCCACCTGGGCAGCCTCCCTGCCAGGGCCCTCCCAGCCCCTCCCATTCTTTTCAGGCTTCCCCCTCCCCTTCCCTGGAATGCCCAGATAGAGCCTGGAAAGGAAATACCCCTGCCCCCAATCCATGTTGCTGCTGTTTCCGACTTCCTTCTTCCCACTGGTCCCCAAGGAAAACAGGTTCTGTCCAAAGCCACCCTGTGATGGAAACTTGCTCATCATTTATTTCCCCCTAGGACTCCTATCTCTTTCCTTTCCAGCTCCTTCCTCAAGTTGATGTCCTCCTTCTCTCCACCCTTTAAAAGCCAGGGGTCCCCAACATCTTCCTCAGCATGCTCCTTCATCTGTTGCAGGCTGGCAGCCCTGGCCACCGCCCCAGATTGACTCCAGGAGGTCACCTACCGGCTGCAGGCCTCCTCTGAGTCTGCATCTCCTGGTGCTCTTCCCACTGATGCCCACATTCTTTCCCGAAGGCTCTCCCTCCGCTCCTGTGAACCAGGAAGCCTGTGGCTCCTCTCCCTTCCTAAATACTGGTTTTCCCTTATTGCTCTGCCCTTGACCCTCTTCCAAGCCTCCTCATTCCCCACTCTCTGGCAACGCCACCACCCTCTTTTATGGCACCAGCAGTACTGTGCAGTTGGCTCCAGCATCTGAATCTCCATCACGGTTATTTCCAGATGGGCTCTGTGTCCCTAGCTGCACCCAGATTGTCCTTCCAGGCTTGGATGTCAGCTCGCTGAGAGCCAGACAGTGTCTGCTCCTGACTGCTGTTTCATTTCTCCTCCCTATGCCGCCCATCACCTGGGCAATAGCTCTGACTCTGTTCATCCCATCGCCCGAATGCCACTTCCCTTCCATTTCTCCCTTGCTCCTTGAATGGGTCTTCAAGAGGAACGTCTTTGGAATTCCTCAGCCTGGTGTCTGGGACCTACCAAGTTCTGGCCCCAGTTTACTTTTCTGCCCCAACACATCCCGGTGTCTAGCTCCTTTGAGCTCTCAGAGTATTAGAATGGGCCAGGCACTGTCATCTACAGCTGCTGCTCCCCAGAATTCCACCCCCCATCTCCAGCTGCCAGAGCCCCTGCAGCTCTGCAAGTTGGAGCATTTTGAGGAGTTGGATGAGGGAGATGATGCAGGCAGAGTTCCAAGGCTGATCTAGTGTCTCTGGAGAAAGGAGAAAGCTGCTGTCTTTGGTAGCTTCTGCTCCAAACTGTCTCTCCAGGAACCAGTGATCAGGAAAGACCACTGGGCTCCTCTGAAAAAGATCTCTCCCTTCCCTTTCCCTTGCCAGGTGCCAGCAGCTCCTCTCGGGAGATGATGTGACCCCATGGGGGCAGCCAGAGAGCAACACTGGCCCCCATCTGAAGGGCCCAGCTGCAGCCAGAGAGATGGTGCTTGAGATCTGAGGCCTAGTGGTCCTCCGGCCACAGTCCAGCACAGCCACTGCCATTTTCCTTGGGACTTACAGCTTCAGAGTTGCCATCCTGCGAGATCAGAGGAAGGATCTGGAGCTAGAGGCAGCAGCCAATCACAGCCCCTTTCTAGTCAGGCTTCCCTTTGGGCAATGAGTGAAAATGCAGGAAAATGACCCCTCTTCTGAAAAAAAATCCAGAAAACTGGCAAAAGTTGGAGTATGGCAAAGGGCAAGATGACCCCTACCAGAGGCTCTGGTCTCCCCCCCTTCCCCATCTCTCCTGCTGCAGACTTTGCCCGGCCCCCACCCCAGCCCCCTGTGGGCACCTTGTGCCCATTCTCTCCGTAGCCTCCTGTACCTTGGCCTCCCCCCGCCAACCCCCTGCTGCCGACTCTCTGCACATCCCCTACCCACAGTGCCCGTGGGAGAACCCAGGGCAGTCATGGGCACCCTCTGTTAGGGCTGCCTGGCCCCTGCAGCTGCTTCTTCACCCAGCAGAGATGGGGAGGGTGGTCACCCCAGAGCTGGAGGAGTTGGGCTAGGCAGGGATTTTAGTTTGGCAGAGGATAAAGCCAGTTCCGGAGTCATGCCACAGTGTGGGCCACAGGGACTCCTGCTCCCAGCTGGACTGGAAGTCATGCCGTCCTCTAGGGTGGCAGCGGCGGGTTCTGGAGTGACCCTTTGGGAAGGCGGAGGGCGTGAGAGCAAGGAGAGGGGTCTGTCCGCTTGGGTGGGAGCGCCTGGAGCCAGAAGGGCTTGCTGAGTGCCCTTGCGAAGAGCGAGGTGCTCTGAGGAGGAAAAACACTCCTCCGACTCTACGAACACTAACCCGGCACCAACCACTGCCAAGGGCGAGGAGGCCGCCGCGTCTCTCCGGCCCCGCCCTCGCCATGGGAGCGCGCGGGCCCTGCCCGAGCTGGGAAGCCGGGACAGGCCACCAGGCCTGGAAGCGCAGGAGCCCCCTGGGCCCGCTCCCCGGCGCGGGGCTGGGTTTGGGAGTGGGATTAGTCCTGGCGAGGCCCCGGTGGCCCAGAGTAAGTGAGGCCGTAGCGCAGGCGAGGCCGCGACCGCACCTCGCCTGCCCTCCCTTGTCCCCGCCCCAACTCCCCGAGCCCGGACGCGCCGCCGCCGCTGAGCGTGACCAAGTTTGGAAGCGCGCGCGGGGCCGGGGACGCTGGCTCCCCGCGGCCAGTCTGTGGTCCGTGGAGGGAGGGAGAGGTCCCCAAGGAGCCCCCCGGGCCTCCCGTCCGAGCTCCAGAGGGGCCTGTGGCCCTGATCTCCCCTCCCCGCGCCTACCCGGCGCAAGACGGGGGAAACCCCAGCCTCACGTCTGTGTGTGTTGCTTTGTTAAATTTTCCCTCCTGTGTGTGGGTTTTTTCTTGGAGCTGTTTCCTAGGAATTCCTGTAATAAAGACTTGGTGTTCTCTTGGTGCTCTGATGTGGTGGGCGGCATGGGCTGGACCCCTCCCTCCTTCTCCTTTCTCGCCTGGGGCAGGATTTGGTCCCTGGAGCGCAGCGTAGTCGCATCCACTGGCCGCCTGCCTCGCCGGCCCCCATTAGCCCGCAGCCAGTCTAGAGCCCAAAGAGCTCGGCCCTCTCTGATACACTCACAAAATGACACCTGCTGTCTGCATGGCAACCTTGCTGACCTGCCAGCCTGTCCAGCACTGTCACCTTCCTGTTTGCCCCAGTTAAGTAAACTGCTTGTCTGTCTCTATGCAAAGGAAACACCCTGGGGGAAAGCCAGTCTGTTGGGAAAACTCGATGGTCACCTCCCTAAATAGACAACTTCTGGATTAAAGGCCCAACCGCAGGCTGCAGGAAATTATAATCTCAGACTTCAAAGGACAGAAGAGATCTTCCAGTTCTCCTATCTCTAACTTCCCCTTCTCCGCAGCTCAGGGTCACTACCTCCCACTATAAGGGCAAAGAACTCCCTGCCTAAAGAGAAAGCTGGTGCTATTTCCAGACAGGACAATTCTCAAAGTTAAAAAATTCATCCTTGTGTTGAGCCAAAGGGTTCTTGGGCTCGGGTCACTGGGCCAAGGCTGCTCTTCTTCCCCCACGCTCCGTGGCCCCTGTCTACCTGACAACAACTATTCCTCCACTATCTGCGTCAGACCCAGGTAGGCTTGCAAAGTGACATACTTGGGACAGCTGATGATGCTCCATTAGCGATCCACAAAGTGATCCTCCAACCCTAGTTTTCCCATGGTGCTACACCAGTAGCTAGTATTGATTGCACACAATTCTGATGCTCGGTAGCCCAGGCCGATCACATCAACAACTATGTTTTTTTTTTTTTTTAAGCTCCCTAGGTAATTCAAATTTGTAGCCAAGTTTGAGGACAGCATACCAGGCAGACTGTTAGGTGTTTCATATTGGCCCAATTGATCTTGCCCAATAACAGCCACTTATCGATGATGACTGTTCAGAGAAGTTAAGTAATTTATCTAAGATCACAGAGCTAGGACATCATGAAGCCAGAACAGGGGGCCCAGAGCTGCCTGATTCTAAAACCTGGATTGCCTGCTCTATGCCCCTGCTGCTCAGAGTACTCTGTGTACCAGCATCCTCACCATCACTGGGAGATTGTTAGAAACGCAAATCATCAGTCTTCTTTCCAACTCTACTGAATCTGAACCTCGATGCATTTGAACAATCCCTCCAGCAGATTCTTGTACATGTTCAAGTTTGAGCACCGCACTTCCACAGCTTCCTGGCTCCAAGTTTGGTCTGTGGAATAGCAGCATCAGTTATTTTCTGGGCGCTTGTTAGAAACCCAGCTCCGGCTCTGCCCAGACTTACTGAATCAGAAGGTGTATTTTAACAATTCTTCGGGAGACTTGTACGCACATGAAAACTTGAGAAACACTGCTCTGGAACACTGGTTCTCAAACTGCCCAGAGATTCTGACTTCATTGGGTTGGGATTTTAGCCTGGGAATCAGATGGCAAAATCTCAGGTAGTTCTAATATGCAGTGAAGAGAACCACACACCCTTTTGCTTGTTAGTATAGATGAGACAGAAGGCAATTAGAACCAGAGCGAGAAAAAGAGGGAGAAAGCTTCTCAGGTCTGACAAAAAATGAAGCATATAAAGTCTCTGTTTGACGATTAGCCCTTGACTCCAGCTGAAGGTGGCTATAGGACCTGGGAGCAGGGACGGTCTGGACCAGATGATTGTCCCAGCCATCTATCCTCACACACTACCTTCATCTACTACTGCTGGGCTCCTGTGTCCACAAAATAATACAGCTTTATAGCTTCTGCAAAAATGCTGACTCAGGATATCTGGAGTCTCGTCCAGCTGGTGCTCTCTCCCCTTTTTATGCCTTGGTGACCCCAGGGCTCAGCCCCAACTCGAAAAGATATTAAGGGTCTGGAAAATGCTGTTCCTAGAAGGAACTGGCCTAGTTATTATCATACTGGGGTCTCAACCCTCCCTCTGTTCTCTTGAAGCACCTGGCTGGGGGGTAGGTAATGGGACTTGGGGAAAAACAGGAGAATGGGAACAAAAGAGGCAAGCACAATGTGGGGTGATGAAGATGGTAGCTCTTTATCAAGGGCTTATTGTGTGCCAGACACTTCCTTTATATCCACTGAATGGATCCTTTACATCCATTATTTTACCTAAATCTCGCAATTCTATGAAATCAGTATCATTACTTCCATTTCACACACAGATCAGGAAACTGAGGCACAGAGATGTTAAAGTCCTGACTCTACATCTACCCTCAGTCAGTGGTAGGACCTGGATTTGAAGTTGATACCGAAACACGGAGCTGTATGTTGGAGGTGGGGAGGGGGTTGGGTGGGTGATAAGCCCAGGACTCCCACACCGATGCAAATTATGGAGCACAAAACGGACCCTCTTGCTCAAAAACATCTCCAGAGTGATTTGATCTGTGATCCAACAGAGTACTGGAAGTCCCCCATTAGAATGCTTCATCTGGTTTTAAAAACAATCTCTTAGCCTTTCCATTAAATGGCAAATATGCTATTGAGAGAGAAGCACATGAACTCCTTATGGCCATTATCACAGCATAGATTAATTTGTTGGATTAGCGGGCTGTGCCAGCTGGAGGAAGAGTTGGAAATTTCTGGTGACCTGGTGAGGGAGGGGGCGGCTCAAAGGGTGGTGGGGGGGGCTGTGTGTATCTACTGCCACCTGGCGGTCATCTTACAGAAGTGGCAGTCGCTGGCCACTCAAGAGACCTAGCACCATTTTCCCAGAAGGAAGACCTGAGCACCAAACAGAAGAAAATTTACTCTGTTCACGTGGTCATATGTTTTGTAGCATTTGCAAGACAAAGATATTTTTACTTTTTTCTTAAAAGAGTCACTAAGATTATATAAGTTTCGGGCCCCCCCAAACCAGCATCTTGCCTGGAGATCTGAGGCCTGAAGTTGGGTGTCCTTTCTGGAAAGTAAAAAGTCACAATTCTTGATTAGACCCCGAGGATTATTCCTGGGACTCTGGGCTGAGGAAGTGTGAAGCTCAATACAATTCAGCACAAGCCTCCTTGCTATGACCTTGCTGTTCAAAGTGTGATCTGTGGATACGGGGACCAACTGTCCTGGTTTCCCCAAATGCAGAATGCTCAAACTGGGAAAGTCTCGAGCAAACCCAGGCGATGTGGTTGTCCTGTCTGCAGACTAGCAGCATTGGCACGAACCTGGACACTCATTAGAAATAGAGCTCGGCTCGGCGCCTGTGGCTCAAGCGGCTAAGGCGCCAGCCACATACACCTAAGGTGGCGGGTTCAAATCCCTAGCCCGGGCCCGACAAACAACAACGATGGCTGCAACTAAAAAATGGCCGGGCATTGTGGCGGGCGCCTGTGGTCCTAGCTACTTGGGAGGCTGAGGCAGGAGACTCGCTTGAGCCCAGGAGTTGGAGGTTGCTGTGAGCGTGATGCCATGGCACTCTACCCAGGGGGATAGCTTGAGGCTCCGTCTCAAAAAAAAAAAAAAGAAAGAAAAGAAATAGAGCTTCACACTCAGACAAGTCTGAGACAGACCATATTTTCCATGATCCTCAGGAGGTTCATGGGCACACTGAAGATTGAGGTGCTCTGACTTCCCTCACCAGCCACAAAATGTCTGCCTTCAAGGGGTCTCATCTTTGGTGGCTTGCAAAACCCCACAGAGTGATTCCAACTGGCCTTTCATTTCAACAATACATTTGAAGTATATTGTGTCCTTGGCCATGGTGTTACAGAACTCCCAGGGCCCTCTTCCAGAACTGGATTCTCCTTGGGGAGCAAGCCTGTTTAGTTTGCATGGGAAGCCATGTAAAAATGGGGGATCTAACTGTAGGACACTGGTGCTCTTAAGCATGGAGTAATCAGAAATTATTGTCATCATCACTTATATTCATTGAGAAGTTATCATATACTAGCCACTGTTTTAAGCTTTACCCCATTTTATGGATGGCCAAGCTGAGGCTCAGAGGATTATGAAACAGAACTATCCATCAGTAAGGCACAGAGGACAGCCAGAAGTGGAAACAGAGTGCCTTGTCCATGGTGGGGTGGGGAATTATTTTCATGCAACCATAGTGTTCTCCCTATCGGTGGATCTGGGAAGACCTCAAAGGAAATCTGGGCCTAGAAGGGAGGGAGGGTCAGATGTGGGCAGGCAGCAGAGGGAGGGCTGAGATCATAGAATCCTCATTTGTTCTGACTTGGCTTTATTCACCCATGTTGTTCATTGGAAAACTCTTATAAGCCAGCTAGCTCAGGGCCAAGCACTAGGCTGGGTGTGGAGAAAGAGTCTAGTTCTTGTCCTCAAAGAGGCTGGGTTAGACAGACTCAGACAAGTAAACAGAGTTATAACACAAAGGGGGCTGTAAAAGACAGACAGAGGCTCCTGAAGGGAGAGAGCAGGTCGGGGCACTCACGCGTCTGGCTGAGTGTGTGCTGGGGGCTGGAAAGCTTCCCCACTGAATTGACTCTTGACAGGAAGCCTAGCAGGGTGTCCAAAGGAGAGTTCTGGCCAGGAGAGGCAGCACAGCCCAAGCTCCTGAAGAAAGAGAAAGCTCTCTGCCTCCTCCTGGAAGCCTGCCCTCCCTGTTCTACAAACTTGTCCTGGGACTCAGTAGACCTACATTTCTTATATTGGCTCTTGAATATATTCTTTTGCTTTCCCCCCTTTTACACGAACTGCTCCCTGATCCTGGCTCTCTGCCATAGGCGAGTAGCAGTGTCCGTGACTTCACCAATATGCCGGGATTTTCACTTATCAAAGCGGTTCCACTATTGGGGATGCACTTCCTCTTTGGTCTGACAACCTCCGTGGCACTGTTTAAATAAGGGCACTACTTACAAAGCTGTGGGCAGAGCATAGGGAAGCCCCAGGGGATGGCCTAGACCCCATGGCAGTAAGAAAGAGGCACAGTTTGTCAATTGTGTCTAGACCTGAAGGGGCAAGGGAGGGGTGGTGACCGGAGAGAGCTGTGTGAAGAGCTCCTGCAAGAGCTGTGACTTTCTATGCCAGGACTGACTAAGGAGGGAGCCAGGGAGATAAAGACGGCATTCACTCTCCTCCTTCCTTCAAGTCCCCAGCTGGAGTCCACTTGGATGCAGAGGGCAGTGGGCTGGGGGATGCCGCCTATAGAAGTCAGCCTCCCGGGGGACAGATCGTGGTGAAGGATGGCACAGAGTGGATATGGAGCTGCATGGGCAAAGGGGAGTTACTTAGTGCTAAGTAATCAGTGCTATGGGCTGAACAGTGTCTCCCTCAAATTCATATGTTGAAGTCCTATCCCCCAACTCGGAATGGAACTATATTTGGATGTATGGTCTTTAAAGAGGTAATTACATTAAAATGCAGTCATTATGGTGGCCCCTAAGCCAAGATGGTGTGTATCCACATAGGAAGAGATTGAGACACAGACCTTCCCATACAGAGGAAAGACCATGGGAGGCATAGGGAGAAGATAGCCATCTGCAAAGCAAGGAGAGAGGCCTCCAAAGCAACTAACCCTGGATGCATTTTGACCTTGGACTGCCAATGACCTGGACTTGCCAGGAATTGTGAGAGAATGAACTTCTGTTGCTTAAGCCACCCAGTCTGTGGTTTGGGTATCGTTATGGCAGCCCTAGCAAATTTAATACAATCAGCAAGCTATTCAGTATGTAAGATACCATTTATATATTTGCCTCTCCATCTTCCCTATTGGACTGTTGGATTCCCTGAGACTCAGTACAATCAAGTAGGTGCTTAAATGTTTGTGGAATGAATAGGTCATTTAACGAGAAAATGCTGCAATTCAAATCCAAATCCAAATGGTGGCAGTTGCTGGATTATACAACACAACAGCAATGGTGATGCTGTAATACCCTCAGATTGGTTGCTCATAAGCACTCATTATGTGCTGGGTACTGCGATTAATGCTTTACACAAATGATCACTTTTACTCTTGCAATAAGCCACGAAAATAGTTGACCTGGCTGTCCAATTTTAACATTTGGGGAAGCAGAGGTTTGAAAGGTTATAAAACTTGCTCAGAGTGCCATGATTAGTGGGCACATGTACAATATGACACAGTGGGACTAAAATGGGGCTGAGCAGTATAGCAGAAGGAACATGGCCTTTTACAGAGCTTACAAGTTCCACTTCCTCATCTGTAGGATTGTCAGTACATTACCTAGGGAAGCAGGCAGTTGAACAATTGAATGAGATAATTGAAGTTCCTGGTGCAGTGTATGGCATAAGTGTCTTGCAGCCTTGAAATGGCTTTGGTCAGGTCTGATGGCTCACACCTGTAATCTTAGCACTCTGGGAGGCAGAGGCAGGAGGATTGCTTGAGGCTGGAAATTTGAGACCAGCTTGAGCAAGAGCAAGAATTCCCATGTCCACAAAAAAAGAAAAGAGAAGAAAAATTAGCCCAGTGTGGTGATGTGTGCCTGTAGTCTCAGCTACTTGGGAGGCTGAGGCAAGAGGATCATTTGAGCCTAGGAGTTCAAGGTTGCAGTGAGCTATGATGAGGCCACTGAACTCCAGCTTGGGTGACAGAGCAAAAGACAGCCTCGTTGTTCATTCCACCTTTCCCTTGCTGCCCAATAGTTCCCTTTTGTATTATGAATGAAAGCTTGGGTGTGCACTTCCTGTTGCAGGCTCAGAGGGCTCCCAGTCACATTCCCACCTTCCAAGGTCTCCTGATGCTGCCTACCAACATTCTCTCCTTTTAGTCACAGAAACATTAAATATAGGGCCAGAAAGGAAAACTTCCAAGGCTCAGAAGAGGAAGGGACCACCCCAAGATGATTTCCAGTGAAAATTCCTGCCTTGCCATTCCTCTTTTACTGAGGGTTTGGTTCTTTGGCTCCCCTCCCTGATCTTGGAATACATCCTTCTTATTCTTTAGCAGTAATCAGTGTGCTAATCTAGGGAAGCAGGCCCTGGTGAGAGAAAAGAAGTGTGTCTGTAATCTGGGTTGGCAGATAGCTCAGGCACGGACAGAATTAGAAAGTTGTTAGCAGGCCTGAGAAGACTATATTTAGCTGGGAGCATGTTTGTTCTCCCCAAAGCAAGGTCTTTCAGATTTCCCCAAGACTGGGTGACTCCAGCCTCCACACTTGGCCCTGGGGTCACACTTGTGCTCTCTCATGTCTGTTCCAGGGGACCCTTAGGCAGCAGTGAAACCCACTTCAGTTTAATCCCTGGGCTCCAAATCACTGTTCCTTGCCTCTGGAGCCTGGAGCTCAGTGGCCTCCAGCTTTAGGCATAGTTCAGGTGGCATCCTGGGGCCTGGAAGCCTGGCTCTTAAGGTTGCCTGTCTGACAAATTACTTAACCTCCTGCGGCCTTACTTTCTCATCCATAATGAGGATAATAATAGCTACCTTGTGGGAAGGTATGTGGATTCAGTGAGATAACACAAAGTAGTAATTGCTCATCATCAAACAGTCCCTTCCTCCTACTCAGCAGCCTCTCTTAAGAGTGGGAGGACTCTGGGATGATTTCATGTGCTATAATGGGCTCCTGGGAGACACTGTGTATATGTGATTCAAAACACTCATTGGATTAAAAGTTCAAATATGAATCCAAACTCTTTACCAGTCAAACTCTGAGGCATATTTAAGGGCAGGAAAATATTCCCCCTTCCCTTCCTGCAGTTTCACTCCTGGATATCCAACTTTCACAGCCTATGTGTCCTTCTGCACATTTCTGTTCTCATACAAACACATACAGAGGGGATTTGTTTGTTTGCTCTAAAAGGTTGGAATCTCACTGACGGTGTTTCTCTGTAATTTCCTTTTTCATTTAACCATAAGTTCATGGACATTAATCTAGGTAAGTACATATAGATCTAGTCCATTCATTTTAATAGCTGTATAGAATTTCACAGAATGTAAGAATCATAATTCCAGGACTTTGCCACCACAAATAATGCGGCAACCATGATCCGTGCACAAATAATCTCATTAAATTATGCTTTAATTTCTATGGGGTACTTCCTCCAAAGGCTGACTACTGAGTCAAAGGGTATGCTATGCATGTACATGCAGAGTTTATACATATATATAACACAAAGTAGAAATTGCTCAGCAGCAATTATTATAGTTGTTAGGGGATCCCCAATAGTTGTTAGGGAATCTGTTTCGCTCCCGACACTTTCACTTTTCAAGCGCCTAGGAGGTGTTAGCTAGCCAGGGTTCAGCAGAGGAAACACCAGTTGCAGCAGGCATCCCTGTTGGTGTGGGTGTAGGTGGCATTCTGGAGACAAAGGGCGCAGTAGGGAGAGCTAGACAGCTGGAGGCGGAGGACCCAGGTCTAGGGTCTAGCGTGACCCGGGTTTTCTTCGGCGTGGTGTACGCCTCTGACCAAGATTAAGCTCGGTCTGGGCCTAGAACTGGTGACCCCAAATCCCTGCCTTTATTATTCCCTTGGTTTGGCTCCGCCAGGACGGGAGGATGCGCCTCGTTCTTCCCAACCACATTCCCTTTGCGCAGCCCCAAACTTTTCGAAAGAAGTTGGTTCCCTAAAACCAGAAAGAGTAAAGTGCCGCCACGCTTAATCCCTCGCCCATATCGGTCATTGACTGCTCCTGCCCGGCTTTTGCTCGCTCCCTCCCCTTTGGCTCGGCTAGCGAGTGCTCCTGTCTGAACCTGGCACGCCGCTGGAGAGCGTGCCACTTCGGCCTATCGTTTGCTTCTGCCTGCTCCGCTCTCCCGGTGGGCTGCGGTGGGAGCCCAGCGATCCTCGGCTCGGTCCGCAACTTATCCTCCCTCTTCTTGCCTTTCCCACTTCCGGTTCCGGTGGCGGCTGGTCGCGCTCTGTTCTAGCCGCGGGCCATGGCTGGCAGCCGCCTGGAGACCGTGGGGAGCGTCTTCTCGCGGTGTGTGTTCGGAGCCAGGGGGGCGCTGAGCGGGTCTCCCGCGGGCAGGGGTTCTCAGCCGACCGCGCTCTTCCCTGGGTGGCCCGAGCAGGGCGAGCCATCCTGTGGGGCGCAGGTGCCTGAGCCGGGTGAAGCCTTCGCGCTGTCTCTGCTGTAACTGTCTCTCTCCGAACAGTTAAGCTGACGTCTCCTGGAATTTCTTATCTTTCACGTTAAAGATTGCGCCCCCACGCCAAGTGGGGTCTCTAGGAAGAGTCAGGGAGGAAGAGCCTGATGGGCAGAAGGGGACCGTCCTTTCATTTTTCGTGACCGAACCGGGGTGGGGCAAACATCAGTAGAAGGCCAAGGGTCTTAACTGTGGGCCAGGTTGGTTTGGGATGATGTGGAACTATTTTCCCTGTAGTTGGGGAGCACCCCTGCTTCTCCCTTCAACCTCGTTTTAACTTGTGGACTGCGTGATACCTTTGGTGTCCCGGGCTGTGTTAGACTGATTAATAACAGGCTATTGTAACTAATCGGCCTTCGTTCTGTTCCTTCCGTAAGGACGCGGGACCTGATCCGGGCTGGAGTGCTGAAGGAGAAGCCCCTCTGGTTTGACGTCTATAATGCCTTCCCCCCGCTGAGGGAGCCTGTCTTCCGAAAGCCCCGCTTGCGTTATGGCAAAGCCAAAGCTCCCATCGAGGACATCTGGTACCACGAGGATCGGATCAGAGCGTGAGTGTGCAGCAGGTGGCAACAGAACTTAAGAAAAAAAGGTTTAGGTAGCAGTCTCATAACTTAAACAAGGAGTTGAGTCAGGGGTTGGCTATCCTGCGGCCAGATAGACGAGACCTATGGAGGTCTTATATGTCTAGTCAAGTTAGGGAATCAGCACCTCTTCCCCGGTGGAGAGAGACAGAAGTTCTGAGAAGTGAAATCTTGGAGTCCCTACAGCTGACAGATCGATGCAATTGTAGCTACCTGTTTCAGCACATATGCTTTGCAGACCTTATCTGATTATCCCACAGGCTTACTCTAACCCTGTAAGGTAGGCAGCCTTGTCTGCATTTTATTTAAACGGACTGTGAGGTGCAAGGAAATTAGCTTCCTATGGCTACAGGAGGGTGGCAGATGCAGGAATAACATTTCTGATTCCAAGTTTATGTTGGTTATTTTGGCTGCCTTTTCGAGGAGTAGAGGTAGGAGGAACATGTTTTATGGATCTAGCAGTGGGGATCTTTGGAGCCACTCAGAAGGATGCTTAAAAATACAAGAGATTTGAAAACAATCGTTACTAGGAATTTGAGGGAAAGTACTTGGCGGTCTTTATTTCTTCAGCCTCTCTTTCCTCTTTTATTATAAAAGTAATGTGTGCTCATTGTGGAAAATTTAGAAACAAAGGAAATTCACAAAGAAGAAAACGGAAGTTACCCATAAGACCACCATCTAGATTGAGATCAGGGTTTGTAGGCAAGCCCTGCTGTGTGACCTTGAGTAAATAATTACCCCTGTTAAGCTCCAGTTTCTACACAGTAGAATTTAATAATAGTACTTTATAGAGTTGTAAAGATTTAATAAGGTAGCACACAAATTTTTTAGCTTAGTGCCTAGCACAAAGTAAGCTTTCAATAAATGTTAACTATTATTGTTGTTATTTTATTTATCTTTCTTTCAGAGAGTCTCACTGTGTTGCCCTCAGGAGAGTGCTGTGGCATCACAGCTTACGGCAACCTTAAATTCTTGGGCTTAAGCAATTCTCTTGCCTCAGCGTCCCAAGTAGCTGGGACTATAGGCACCCGCCATAACAGCCAGCTATTTTTTTGTTGCAATTATCATTGTTGTTTAGCTGGCTCCAGCCAGGTTCAAACCCGCCAGCCTGGTGCTGTGGGTGCCGAGCCCTATTATTGTTGTTATTATCAACGTTTGGGTCTGTTTCCTTATGTTCTTTTCTGTGCTTATGTGTGTATGTATATTTAATTGTAACAGAATGCAAATAATTTGTGTCCTATTTTTTTGAGAAGGAGTCTCACTTTGTCACCCTCAGTAAAGGGCTGTGGTGTTATAGCTCATAGCAACCTCAAACTCTTGGGCTCAAATGATCCTCTTGCCTCACCCTCCTGAGTAGCTGGGACCATAGGCGCCTGGGAGGATACCCAGCTATTTTTAGAGATGGGGTCTCATTCTTGCTCAGACTAGTCTTAAATTCCTGAGCTCAGGCAGTCCACCTACCTTGGCCTCCCAGAGTGCTCAGATTACAGCTGTGAGCCACTGAGCCTGACCTGTGTCCTTTTTTCTACTTATTGTGAGTACATCGATCTATTATGAATGTTCTATATTTAACTATTTCCCTAGTGTTGGGCATTTATTATGGTGCTCACATAATACTAGCTATTATAAATAGTAATTTTTTTGATATATATCTTTCTCTGTAACACTATTTCCTTAGGGTGAATTTCTACCACTAGACTTGATCAGGTTATATGGTATGAACATTTTTAAAGCTGTTGCTGTACTTACCTAATTTGTTTCAAAAAGTTGTTTTAGTTTATACTCTGATTAGCAGTACCTGAGAGTTCTTTTTCTTTTTTCTTTTTACATATACGTGTAAATTATTAATTAATATTATTAAATTTACATATATACGTGATTATTAGGTTTCCACTTTTTGCCTTCACAGAATTAAAAAGGCTTACAATTTACCAACAATAACAATGTTTAAGATAAGGACTAGTAACAAAAACCTCTTAAAGAATGATGAAGATAAATACATTCACAAAAGAAATCAGACAGTTGCTGCAATGAAGTATTAAGCAGTAATAGTAATGCAAAGAAAGTAACATTCACATTGTCAAATACGAGTATAACTATTATAGAATGCTTTGACTCTGAGGTTCAGTATAGAGTCATCAATTAACTTATTATTTTTTTTCCAAAGTCTCAAAAAATAGAATGAGAGTTCCATGTCAGCATTAATAGGGATTAATTTTTTCTGATCTAGGTAGTTTAAAAAATACACATAGTACCTAGAATCTTTAATTTTTCTTTGTTTGATTAGAAAGAAGTTTCTTCATTTTTATGTTTATTGGCTCTTTGAATTTATTTTTGAAATATCCATGTTCTTTACCTGTTTTAATAATTATTTGTATTTATCAGTAAGAGTGCTTCATAGAATTAAAAGTATTAATCCTTTTATGTACATGGAGATATTTTTCATGTTATTTGCCATTTCTAAAGCGTTTTTAACATATCGAAGCTGATTATTGTGTTCCACAAATGTTTTTTGTGGTGTCTTCTATCTGCCAAACATGGTGCTAGCCGTGGGCTGGGGCATTTTATGTATTCCAGTCTCCTGATTTTTTTTAGTTTTGTTGTCTACGTTGCCTTTAGGCTTAGAGGGTTTAGGAAGGTCTTTTTCTGTAAACTTAGCCATCTTTTTGTTGAGTGCCCAGCCCAAAGTGCAAAGCTAGTAGCAGTATTCCTTCTTTAACTCCGTCCCTCTCCTTTCCTCTCAAATTTAAATAGCTTGAGCAGAAAATGTGCTTCTAATAGTTCCCAGCAACATTCTTTAAAATGTGTTTAAAATTCTCTATTTTTTTTAGTGAAAACAGAACAGCTTGATGTCACAATCTTTGGGGGATATTTCTCTGTTATCTCCCAGTCTTAGTGCTTTTCCTTTTGTGTGCCCTTCGGGTACACAGTACTTTGTTCATATTGTTCATACTTTTGTGTGCTCATCAGGTAAATAATAACTTTGTTCTTTTTGCCCCGTTAAGGTGTTAACCTGTCCTGAATAGCTCTGCATGACAAACACCCTTTCTTTATTCAATAACAAACATTTATTAAGCATTAGAGCCTAGTCCAGTGTATGGCATGTAAGTTTCTTATGGTCTTTCAAGTGAAGAAACTAATGGGTTGATTACTGCATAGGTGAACCACAAGGCTAGTAGAGGAGTAGAGAGCATTATGAGAGAAAATTCCTTGGAGAAGGTTGATGAAGGGCCAAGATGAAGCCCGTTTGGCAAATGAGCATCAAAATTTTATTACCTCCCTGGAACAGCTTCAGGAACAGTGAGTTAGAGACCACTTCTGTGGCACATTTAGCTTCCCTATGTGCACATCTAAGCTTTAAGTAAGTGATAAACCACGCCCTTGGAATTTAATGATGAAGTCCTCACCCTTGATGAATACTAAGGTCAGTTAATTCTCAGTATCTAGAACTTGTATGGTTCTTTTTTCTCAAGTGGTAAGACCAGTGATTGTGTCTAACGGAAGCTAGTATACATCCTTTATTCTTATCACTATTACTGGATGCAAGAAAATGGAATTTCTTAAGTTCATGTTCTCCATTAGGGCCTAGGCACCTTTCATTTGAAGACATTCTTTTTTTTTTTTTCTCCATGGTACTTCTTTGAGGTAGCAGAACAAGTATGTTCTGGCTCTACTTAGAAATTTTCAGGGTAGGACGTGAAATATTTGGGGGGATCAAATACTTTTTAACAAATACCTTTGTGCTCAGATCTGTATGTGCTTGGTTAGGATGCTTTTGTGGTCCATTTGTACAATAAAACCGTGTGCTTCTGCTGTGGGTAACATCGGAACTGGGTGACAGTTCCCTGGAGAACATGCAGGATTTTACTTGTCCCTCTTCTGGTTAAATGTTAATACTACTAGTGCCCAAATAATAACATCTTCTATTTATATAATTCACTGAACCTGTGTCGTCAGAGGCTGAGGTCGGAGCATCGCTTGAGCCCAGGAGTTGGAAGCTATAGTAAACTATGATAGTGTGTGTGAACAGCTGCTGCATTTCAGCATGGGCAACACAGTGAGACCCTTTCTCTTAAAAAAAAAAAAAAAAAAAAAGAACATAACAAAATAATTTCCAAATGTATCAAAATCTAAATGTAAAAAGTAAAATAATAATACTACTAGAAGAAA